AATGCCGGATCTAAGATCCAACGGTCCAGGAGCCCGTTTCACGGTAACAATGTGAAGCCTGGTATCACCTAAAACTTCCCCTGCCACATGGAGGCGGAAGGCCAACTGTTGATCCACACTATTTATTGAGGAAGAATTAATGTGGTATCTCATAAGCACTAGGTGTCGTATGGACGAAATGCAGACAATTGCCATCTTACATTTATCTTTGAAGTACATTTATGGCCATGGTTTGTATCAAGATCACATGTATAGACTAGCTTACAATGGCAGGCTTTATAGCCCGCTTACATGACAATTTGGCATATGTGAAGAAGAGAGATATATAAAAAAAGTAAGTGAAATTGGGCTCTAAAATGCAAGAATCTAGTTATACGTGTTTTTAAGGAAAATACAATAAATGTGAAGAAAGAGAAAGAGAGAAGGTAGAAAAAGTACCAAGGGAATCTCTGATGCATACCCTCAAACCACATGCAACCGTCCGGACCGAACTGTCTGGTTGTTCGAAATCCCGCAAACCGGAAGCTGGCGAAGGGGGCTTTGCAGGAGTCTGAACCGCCTTCACATAGGACTCCGACACCCCGACCCACTAAAAGATGAGGCGGAGCTCATGCATTTGGAAGAATGAATTTGTGGCATTGATATTACCCTTTAAGAAGACATAAAATAAATAAAAACTAAATAAAAATAATTTATAGTCTTCTATGAAACAATGAATTAGTGCATTAGTATTACCCTCTAAGAAGAAAGAAAGTGAAATACAAACCAAATAAAAAGATAATGAAGTTTCTAAGAAAGAATGAATTAGTGGCATTGATATTGCCCTTAAAGAAAAAACCTAAATCAAACAATGACAAAATTTGCATGCAATATACATAGAAATTGCGCTTTTTTGTATTATGCAAGAATAAACATATAATGGTCATTTTTTCTAAGAAGAAATGAATTAGTGACATTGGTATTACCGTTAAAGATTAATCAAAATAAAATAAAAGCAAAAGCAAACTTAAACTAATGTATTTATCTGAGGAAGAATGGATTTGTTGGCATTGATATTACCCTTTAATAAGAATGAAAATGAATAATAATACCAAAACAAAATTAAAATAATGAAGTTTGTTAAGAAAAATGAATTAGTAGCATTGGTATTACCCTTTCTGAACAAAAAATTGAAATGGATATAAATCAGATAATGAAATAATTTGTACACAATATGCACAAAAATTGGAATTTTTAAAAATATGCAAAATAAGCATATACTAGTTACATTTTCTAAAAAGAAGTTTCCTAAGAACAGAATAATTAGTGACATTAGTATTACCTTGAAAGAAAAAGGAAATAAAATAAAAACTAAAACAAAATCAAAATAATGAAGTTTTATAACAAGTGACATGAGTATGACCCTCCAAGAAGAAATAAAATCATTATAATAAAAAAGAACTTGCACACGAATTAGCATTGAAATTGCACTTTTTTGGATGCAAAAAATAATCATATAATAGTGCAATTATTGCACATAGTGTATGGTACTCGAGAGCGGCGTTGCGAAGGCCGAGCGTCAGATAGCTCGGTATCTCCTTCGTGGGAATGGGCCTCGTGATTGATTCTTGTAAGGCGTTTTCAAGGTATACGGGTCAGTATACATCTGCGTGAACAGTACAAATCGTATGTGAGTTGCACATTGTCAGGCCCTGCTCGCACAGGTTAAATGGATGGGGGCATGTCTGGGTTTCGAAATAGCACAGGATAAACCTGCCACGGCTGCAGAGTTGCAGCTGCAATAATTGTTGAACCGGCCCAACGTAAATGCAGCTTCAAAAAGTATCACTTTTCTATTCGCAATTTTCTGTGTATGTACTGTATGCTCATCTTTTTTCACATACACTAATACTCAAATTAGTGTGTAATTTGCTACTGATTGCAAATAATTAACTAACTATGCCTCTTTTTTAAGAGCTCTCTTAAGATGGTTCCCTCTTACCCCATAAGAGGCAAGAGAAATATTTTATTTGAATCGTCTCATCAAGGATATGTTTGACCACACTAAAAAATGTAACACGGCAATTACTTTTCAAAAACAAATGTTTAAAATGTTTCCTACATCTACTTTTAATATAATAAAAGTTCGCATTCGAGCCCCGTACGTATATGTTGTATCTGCCATATGAAGACAAATAATTCTCGTGTTGTAAAATATGATGCATATTCATGTGATCGTAAAAATATATACACGCACTACAAAATACATTATTATTATTCGTCATCATCGGTATCTGTATTTGTATTATTATGGGAGAGCCAGTAAACAAAATAAATTTACACATGCAATGTTAGGAACATGTATGACTTTCTCTTGTGTGAGGAATATACAAAACCTTCTCCATTATACATTTTCTTCTCTAACAAAAAAATTGTGCAAGAACACTGGTACATATGGTAGCTTTGTTACAGAAAAATTCTGATGGTATTTTGACTGCTTTTTGCTACGATTTTGTTGACTAGTATTCATTTTTGGTGTTTTCTAAAAACAGATTCTATGGATTTTCTATTGTTTAGGTCCCAAACTGACAAATCAAAACATGCATAGACATATAGGACAGAACATAACAAAATTCTTATTTCGTTTGTTAGACATAATGATAAGGTGCTGAAAAACAAATCAATCATGAATCCAATGGTATTGATATGGTGGCGTATATGTTAATATAGTTTTTCACAAACTTGTTGAAAGTTTATAAAGTTTGGATTTAGAAAAACCTAATATACGAAGTAAATAAGAAGGGAGGGAGTAATAGTTATATCAGCCTTGAGAAGTTAAAATTAAACGGTCTATGTTGCTTTGAACCACCTTGAAATTTCTCTAAAAAAAGTTGTGCAGTCGATCGGGTGCTAATAACACATGTTCATTGTGGATTTCTCGATTTCTATGAAACTAATCCTCAAATTAGTGTGTGATTACCTACTGTTTTCTGAACAAAAAGTAGCTAATTGTGACTCTTTTCTTAAAAAAATGTTGTCGCACAGGATTTCTCTGTTTCTACAAAACTAATCCTAAAAGTAGTGTACAATTAGCTACCTTTTTAGCAAATAATTAGATAACTGTGCATTTTTTTCGATGCTAAAAGCACACTATCATCAGGTCGTTTTTCCCATCCTTAACAAAGCTCGACTTAATCCATCGTCTCGAGTGTATGCACAGATTAAACACAAACACATAGGAGTACACGTGATGATGTGATGTGACATGTTCTGCAAAAAAAAAAATGAAGGCGCAGCAGTATCATGTGCCTGTCGCCAGCCCACCTGTTTCTTAAATGTACAGCATGGGGCCTACTCTAAAATACGGTGATATACAAGGCTGCAAATTGCAATACATGTTGGCGCATGCATCCCCGTGCTTGTTCGGCGGGGTGGATTAGGAGCTATCTGCAGACCGGCCTCTGCAATGCTTTTTTGATGGTACTCCTTCTGTAAATTAATATAAAACGTTTTAGATCACTAAAGTAGTGATCTAAAACGTCTGATATTAATTTACAGAGAGAGTATTTGTGTGTATATATTTACACTCATCAAACATCCCAAAAATTCCCACAAAAAACCTGACTTATAAAGAAAAATAAAATGCGAAAGCAAAAACACGTAAAAACAGAAAAGACACACGGAGAGAGGGGAGGGCTGGGTGTTCAGAAGGCTACAAATAGCTTGTTGGGTCGCACAACTTATTGGACCAGCCAATTAAGGAATTGGCAGACCCAAAATAGAGAGGCCAGTCAAAATTTTCCAGTTCAAAACAAGACACATCACACAGCATGAAAAAAGAAGCACAAATCTTAAACATGAATCAACATCCAGAGAAATTGACTGGCCCAAATTTAATTTTAAGGCAACTTACATCTAGCTAAACCGGCTATATATTATGCGTGAGAACATGTACGTAACCGCATCGGCACTATCAGCACAATTTGACACTAGTTAGCAAAAAAATTCAAGATCTGACCCTTTTTGATGACGCCACCCATCGTGATGTTTTCGTTGCACAGAAGACGTCAAATTTTTCCCTGACTGACAACCTGGCGTTGCCATTCGTTCAGTGTCCGACTTGGCACCACATGAAACGCAGAGGATCATGGCGTTTACCTCGTGACAAAAACGCCAGAGGTTCTAGCGTTTTGCCCCCGGATGGAGACGCCACAGACCGTGGCGTTCACGTGTTCGTTTGTTTCCGCCGATACATATGGCTGTGTGTGTGCTGGATGCTCGTACGTGTGGATGCATGGCAAGCGACCTAGTGGCGCACCTTCCGAGGCGGTCTTGTGCGTTTCTGCCTTGTCTACACACAGCTAATCAAACAAAGAGTCTAGAATCTCAACAACATAAGGTTTGTGAGATTCACACATAATCAGTAGCTGCTTCTCTGTCATCCAAGAGATTACTTTAGTGTTGAGTTCTATTTTCTTTCTGAACTTTGTTTCATTTCAATGAAGATGGAACAGGGATGATGCCTCGATGCTTTCTGGTTCTAAAAAGATAAGTTGAAAAATTAGCATTAGAGAAGTGATTGCACCATGCGCATTGTTAGGCAGTTAGACCATCATTTACATCGTTCATTATAGGACAAGACGAAAATCTTTGTTAGCCGAGCGTAAGCCGGACCAGAACCCCAAACCGAAGAGGTCATAAAGCTTAACATGAGCATTGCAGGAACAACATACAAATATAATTTACATTATTAGCTGTACTGTTGCCGCAAGGGTTCAGGATATTGTTAAGATCCCCCATACCAAAGACTGATTTACCTAGGCTATCATACAAAGAATGGCAATACGTCTCCAAATCTCCTGGCGGGGAACCCATGCACACGCAAAAGCTAAGCTAAATGCCAAGTGGACAAGTGAATCTAAGATTATAACATAAGAACTAGCAAACCCGATAGCGAGACTTCATCTTGACACCAAGACTTTATAGATGCCTCAAGTTCCTTGGTCCTCGTTCCTGGATCACTACCACCAGTCATCAGGACCATCCCCAGCATCACCGTAGAAATCGTTGAAACCCCCGGCAATGTCGTCGTCGTAGTAGTCATCGTCACCGAAGTGGCCATCACCACTCCCGGCGTCGTCATCACCACCACCATCTGCATCAGAAACAAGTTCAGCATCCTCCACGCCCTCTTCCTCGTTGTCCATGGATAAACCTAGTTTCTCCTCCTCATCGTAGTGCTCATTCATGGTCTCGATGGCCTAGAAGAACACATAACGTATGGTGTCAAGACGTGACATTGCTTAAGAGGATAATGCATAATGGTGGTGGTCGATCTTACCTTTTCGAAGGTGCTATCATCGGCTGGAGCGAATGGGGAAGAACAGTTGTTCTCCTCCTCCTCTTGGTAGTACTCATTCGTGTCATTCACGGCCTAGAGACGAAGAATGCATAGCTGCGTCAAGCCGTGACATTACCCAGAGAATGCATAAAGGTGGTGGTCGACTACTGGTAGTTGAGTTCATCGGCATAATTACCATCTCAAATGTGCCATCGTTGGCGGGAGCGGATGGCGGGCCGTCGTCGTCGGACGAGCAGTCGTTCTCCCACTGGTTGTAGTACTCGTTCGTGACATTCACTGCCTGCATACCATGACATTATATTACTAGTACTCATAGGACGCGGGGTGTTGGCCGTGAAGTTCGCCGGCTTACCGTCTGGAAGGTGATATGGTAGGTGGCAGAGAACGTCGACGCGCCTCCCCAGCCCGCACCACCTGCTCCCTTGGCGCCTCATCCCGGTCCGGCACCGCCCGCACGGGCTGCGCCTCCCGAGCGCTTAGCGTTGCCGCCGCCGGCTCCCTTGCCCTTCCCTCCGGCGGGGGTGGCCGCCTTGTTCACGCCCAGCTTCTTGCGGTAGGCCTTCCCCATGAGCGGAGTGCCAAGCCACGCACTCGATCTTTGATCTGCGATTGTCCTTGGGGTTTCGAGGAGAAAAATTGTATGAGACCGGGTCTCATAGACCAGCTTGTGAGACCCTATCGGATGAGCGACATGTGGCATCGACAATCTCAGAGCACCCTAATCCCACTTCACGTCCCATCTCAATCCCAACTGCTGATTCCCGATTCCAGAACCCCACGTACGTACGTACATACTTCATCGCTCTAATAGGTACGTGGGACTAGGGTTTTCTTTATTTTCCTCGCGTCTATGGCGGCCACGCCCAAGGGCCTCGACGGCAGCGGCCAACCGGGACGACGCAGCAGCGAGGACCTCTCTTCCACGACCTCGCCGAAGAAGCTCGTCGGAGGCGGCCTGTCGGACAACTCGTCCATGGCGGATGCATGCCACGATGTTGGCCCGGCGGACACCATGTTCACGGCGGCCGTGCAGCAAGATGCATCCAGCTGCTATGTGATACCGCAGTCCTCCACGGCGGCGAACTCCCGGCCGGCCGGTGGCTCCATCTATGTGTAGTACTTTATTGAAAAAATCATCATGGCAATAAATGTATTTGTTTCACAAAATCATCATGGAGTTTGGGCAATGAACAATATAATTTCATGGGAATCAGTACATGGGTCGATCGGTGGGCACGAACTTGTGATATACAAGCACGTGACGGAATCCAGCTTGATACGTCTCGGCGCTGCTGTGGACAAAGCGAGTTGCTACGACCACTCACGGCGTCTTAGTGTGCAGCAACATGACCGTCGAGTCCGGCCAGAAAGCAATCATGGCATACTCCCGCCATGGTCGAGCCCAAGCAGTCCGTCTCGCCGCGACGATGGAGACAAGCAAGTGCACCGGCAAGGAGCAGTTAGACGCGTCTCTACGAGGAGTCAGTCCGGCCGTCCCCAGCGACGCCTTGACGCACGGCCGCCATGAACGTGCTGTCCGCCCGGCCAACATCGTGGCATGCATCCGCCATGGACGAGTCGTCCGACAGGCCGCGTCCGACGAGCTTCTTCGGTGAGGTCATGGAAGAGAGGTCCTCGCTGCTGCGTCGTGCCGGTTGGCCGCCGCCGTCGAGGCCCTTGGGCGTGGCCGCCATAGACGCGAGGAAAATAAAGAAAACCCTAGTCCCACATACCTATTAGAGCGATGAAGTATGTACGTACGTACGTGGGGTTCTTGAATCGGGAATCAGCAGTTGGGATTGAGATGAGACGTGAAGTGGGATTAGGGTGCTCTGAGATTGTCAATGCCACATGTCGCTCATCCGCTAGGGTCTTACAAGCTGGTCTATGAGACCCGGTCTCATACAAATTTTCTCCGGGTTTCGATCGCTTGGCTTTCTTGTTATTGTTGAGTTTGCATGCATGCACGACACGTTCGGGCCGAGCGTGCGTTGCATGGACGAAGGCCACGCGTGACACGTTCGGGCGCTTGGACAGACTGGCCAACAATCCAAAACATTAACGTGCACATCAGGGCATCTACAATGCAGACGCTTAAAGCAGGCGCTAAGAAATAAAATCCTAGCCGATCTGGCAACTACCTGTTTTAATCCCAGCATCGGCCGACAACTGACTGGCATCGCTGCCTTAAGAGGAGTCGGACGCTTAGGCTAGTTTGCTCGGGATTGTTGCTTTTTTAATACAATCCAAGCGGCTGTTTAAGCGGCCGTGCGTTGGAAGCTCAAACTTTTGCGGTCGGTGCCTAATAAGATCCCACTGTTTTTCCTCTTTAAGCGCCTACTTAAGAGGCTGTGCGTTGGAGATGCCCTCAAAGGCGCCTCCTTGCGCGTTCGCATGTACGAGTACGACAAGCATCAAAGGCGCCTCCTCGCGCGTTCGCATTCCTCGCACGTTCGCATGTACGACAAAAAAATGCATCCATCAGGCTCCCATCGGCATCGCTCATCCCCGTCTTTACTGTGGCGAAGTATAAAAAAAACTAGCGATGGATCCCTTCCTTCCCTTGAAAGGTAACTTCTACTTTTCTTTCGCCCCACATCGTCACATCAGCTCTCGCACGCAACCTCCAAAGCCTCCGCCGCCGCCGCTGCCGTCTCAGCCATTTCTCTCGTCTGCTCCTCCCCTTTCCCCTGCCCTAGCCTATTTCTAGCCCTCCGCCTCTCCCTTTCTTCCTCGAGTACGGCAGCGGAAGGGGGGCCGCGACGGGAGAGAGGTTCTCCACCCCTGACAGACGACGTCACCGCCTCCGACCTCGGCCTCGTCTGCAGCAGCAGCACGGACTTCTGCCCGTGTGTCTCTGTCTCGCTGCTCATCCTCCGGGAGGGGACTCGAAAAGGAGGGTCGTGCTCCTGGTTGGGATCTCCGTGCTCCCTCTCCTGCGCCTCCATCTGCGTTCGATCTCGTCACTGGTGAGTAGTGCTCTGCTCAGCGTGGGGATGACCTATGAGATTCTTAGTTTGAAATCTAATGTGAATCTCCTAAAAACCGATGCAAATCTGTCTTGAGAACATAACCTTCGAATCACGGAACCTTGAGATTTTCTGAAGCTTTATTCCCAAGCCTGAAAATGACTAGCTGGCTAGGTTAATCATCGCTCTGAGGAAATCAAAATCTTCTGTGGGAATGGCCCCTCTGAATGTTCTGAACCATCCCTTGATGCCGCCTCTAGGTCCGTCCAGGCCCTGCCGTCCACTTGCTGACTTCTTCTTGGCGCAATGGGTTGAGTACGTTGGTCTGTGTTGGTCTCGAGTTTTGGTCTTGTTGTAGAGGTCTTCGGCAGCGGTTGTGATGCGGCTCGGTTGCTCTGTGGCTTGCCCAATCGCCATCGGCATGAGGTTGGCCTAGGTGAAGCAAGTATTGTAGTACGCGTGGTGGGTGTGTTTGGTGGATGTGGATGCTAATTCCTGTGATTGGCATTGTAATGGCCAAAAGGCATTCTATCCGGCTTCTTTGCCGCTTCTTCTTTAATATATGATACGCATGCTCATGCTTATTCGAGAAAAATGTTCTGAACCATCCCTACCCATATAAAGAAAATGTGGGAGCGGGACGGCGGGATCTACTCCAGGCCGTGCGGGACGCGCTACTGTCGCTCATGCAGCAGAACGGCGTCGACCTGATCTTGTGGAAGGCGGGTGAATTATTTCTGTTCTTTATTTTTTCCCTATTCTTAACATTGACAAACAATCTCAGGATTTCGCACATGTGCAATCTTCACACTCAATAATTTCTTGATATAGAGTCGAACCAGAACATGTATTAAGGGACCATGACATATCTAGCATCGGTATCTGAAGATGGCAAGATCTGGTCATGGCATCTGACTTTTGACAAGTCAGTATCTTCCAAGAAAATTAATCCTGCTCGGCCTCTTCGCGTGGTTCGTTGAGTGCTGGGTCGTGCCATTGTCTAACTGGGTGCCCCTCGCGGCCGCCGTCTGGGCGATCATTCAGGTAGCTGTTGTTTCTTTCCCCTGTGTTGGTCAGATCATAAATGGATTCATAGTTCGTTTGATGCCATCTCACTTTTAGTATAGCATGTATAATATCTTATCTTGGGCATTCACATGATACTTTGTAATTTCTGAAAGAGAAACAGAGTGTGAACTATAGCTTTTTATTTGTTAGGAAATTCTGATATGTTTTGTTTTGTTAAGTGCTAATAATGATTTTGAAAGTGAGATTAGCAGCAAACAACATTTTATCTAGGCCCCTAATGGTTATGTTTGTCTTCTTAGTTCTCACCCTTTTGTATCCGTGATGCAGTATGGGGCTGTAGAAGATTTGAACAAAAGATGGAAGCACCATATACTGAACACAACAGTACAGTATGTGATGTTTCCTTGCTCTATTTACGTTATTGTTTGTTTATGGAGATAGTCATGCTCATTTTACCTCTATAGTACCTTACAACTCCAATAAAGCCTTGGGAGGGGTTGAACAAACTTTTGATTGAAGTTCGGCCCAACTACATGGAACCGAAACTATCAAGGAAGTTCCAATCTACTGTCGAGGTGAGCTTCTGCCTGAAATTATATTTCGTGCTTGGATGCAACTTAGTAGTTGGTAGTTCAAAAGGTTTCGCAAATAACATTAGATTATACTATATGCATTTGATCCATGGAAGTTGATTATGTAGAATCAAATCATTTCAAAATTCCTTTTGATTTTGTTGATTTGAGGTAGACAGTACACCTGCTGCAGTGGACTTCGTCGTCTCATCGGCATGCTCGCCCGCGACAGTACACCTGCTGTAGCTCCGGTGAGATGCTGGAGCTCATGGCGGCGCTCACGGCGGTATACCTCATACTGTACCTCAACTAACATATTGATCTTCTACTTCTTTTCTGATCAAACTGGGAATCATACTATTCTCTTTCTGTCCAGTAAGCCCCACTAATCACTAGGTCTCATTACTCTTTCTATCCGACGTGGCATGTGAGAGCGGAGGATAGAGGCTGCCACGAAATACCCAACCAATGCACTTGTCGATCGTCTTGCTCTTATTAGGTAGTCGTTTCAATGAAAGTATATCTGCCGCCTGTTCATTTTTCAATTCACTTTCAATAGACAGTTTGCATTATCTGTTTTTTTTGTGGGAGTTGAAGCAAAGAATTTG